GGGGCGGGCGGGGGGCGGGGGGGGGGGGTTAAAAAAAAAAGCCTAAAACATGAAGGATTCTAAATTAAAAAAATAAATTGTCTTTTCCCCAGCCATCACCTCCCCCCCCCCCAACACACACAATGTTATTCGAGTTGTGCCTCGGACCAAATCACCCGGAGTGCACCCGGCCGCGTCGAATCTGGCGATCCGAGCGCGGTGCGGCCCGCGTCTCGCTTGGGATGAGGCCGGTCGACCGCCCGGGGGTGTGCCAGGCGCTATAGGCCGCGGCGTGGCCCGTTTCGCAGTCGGGGAAAAAAAAAACCAGCGGTGTGCAGTGCAACAAAATCCACCAGTTGCAACTGTTCTCGCAACGCCCTCCGTCCTCGCCAACCCGGGGGAGTGGACGTGGGGCGACCGCCAGTGCATCAGCGGGTGGCTGCCGCGGGGCTGAATTCGCCGGCGGAGAGTTTTGAGCGCTGAGCTTAGTCGATTCGATTTTCAGTTTCTGCATTCATGCAGTGAAATTAATCAATGCATTCATGTATTGTATCGGTTTAACACGTAGTAGGCTTTTGCGACCAATGTTATTCATAATAATAAAGGTTTTTGGGTTAGATCACGTGAGTGTAAATGTGTCGTAACCCTCCACCACCCGACACAGACAGGAAGGTTTGTCACGTGATCGACGCGCCAGTTAGTTACTACCCCAGCCCACCGGTGTGTTGGAGAGTAAATTTGCCAGAATAGTGAAGCAATCCAGGAAGACGTCAACTTGCCCTATTTAAGACCGGAAACAGGTGGATTGCTTCACTCTTTTGGCAAATTGCCCGATGATGCTGGCTGTAATTACCAGCGAAACGTCGTACTCGGATAGCAAATGTTGTGGATTTACTCTCCAACACACCGGTGGGCTAAATTAGTCACTAATTGGCGCTTTGTTTACGTGACAAACCTTGCTGGCTGTGTCGGGTGGTGGAGGGTTACGACACATTTATACTTACGCGATACAACCCAAAGACCCTTTATTATGAATGTGTATGAATACATTTATACATGCCATTGTGGTGAATCGGGGCACCGCTGCAATTAATCTTGAGCAAATAATTTTTTTTGCGTGACCGAACTTCGCCGGCGCACAGAACGACGTTGGCAGATCTGACGTCGTTACATTCGCACATCAAACATTCGGATTTTTCGCGGTGGCTGATCCTCGAAAACAAATGTCACCCCCCCCCCCCCCCCCCCCCCCCCCCCGGGAATTACAACTGAAAACGTAAAACCCTGTTAGTTGCATTCTCGCGTGGACAATCGCTCCCGGGAAGAGAAAAAAAACACGCGCAGACAGACAGAGATGGAGAGGCAGGCGGCGGCGGCGGGGGGGGAGAATCCGTGACGACGTCTCGGAGCGAGACGCGATTAGCATTAATACCGGCACGGCCACATTGTGGGCCGCTACAGCCAATTACGCGCTTGCCACTCACTGGCATTCCGCCCGGGCCCTAATGTGCCCGTCTCAGTTGGGGCGTGCGTGGTTCCTTATTCCATTAGCGGAGGCAGCAATTAAAACAAAGAGGCAGCGGCCCGCGCTCGCGGACCTATTTGCGCGCACGTGCGCGCATCTCCCGGGACCCCTGTGACCCTGCCATTCACACAAGGAAATGAACGGTTGAATGAATTAATGCGTGTGTATATGTGTGTGTGTGTATATATGTAGGGAGCGGTAGTGTAGCTCGCTGCGCTATGAACCCGGCAAACCAGAGTTCGATTGCTACTTAACGGCCATCACCGGTGGCGGTTATCCAAAGTGGTCATGGGCCTCCCCTAGGTCGACTCAGCCTCAAAGAGGTACCTCGGTCTGGTTTGTAGACATCGCCTCTGGGGGGAAATTATCGAGGGTCCAGTTTGTGACTGTGGTGGTGCGACATCTCAGACCGTGCAACATCTCGTGAACGACTGCCCACTGGGATCATTCAACGGCGATCTGAAACAAATCCACAGGGGCTACTCTTGAAGCAGTCAGATGGGTATCAATTCTCGACGTCAATGTGTACTCCATTGCAATCCCCAAAAATGCCATCTGAAAGAAGACCACTGGGGAGACAAAGGCGGCCGGGCATGGCGTTGGCCACCCACCCCCTTCATAGGTACTCGCTAACAGCACTTGCCCCAACAGTCTGTTACAGGCTATGAGGGGGATCTTTGCCTCTGTACATGCGTACGTACATTATTACCATTGCGTTGGGATATTTTCAACACTGACCCGCCCAAGGACTTTCTCGCCAGCTGAGAATCATGTTTCTCGCATGGCGGTCAAACTGATATTTCTAATTGCGAGAGCTGGAATTTAGACAAGTTAAGTGAGAAGCGCATTTAAAATCGCCTGCCTTTGTCATCGAACCTTCACCACCGGTTCCCCAGCATACGTGGCCTCACTACTCTCGCCTTGCGCTGAATCACACGGTAGAACCCTACGCAGCGTCGCTCAAAATCTGCTTCGGACACCAAGGTCTCGAACTGTTACAGCCTCACGTCAGTTCTCTGCTGTCGCCCCTCTCGCTGTGGAACTCTCTATCCCTTTGCACATCCGCAACATCAAATGCAAGAAACATCTAAAGGCCTCTATCTGTTTGGGTCGGGGCTTTTGAGCGGCCCTATTGACTTGTCTGCAAAAATCTGGTGCGTTATAAATGTCACTATAATTATTCATGTGATCAGGGTTGTTTTGCGCAGTCACTGGTGACCGGCCTGGAACCGTCAATTCACTGCACATGAGAACCCGGTTTAATCACTGGCAGTGGCTGAGACCCGGAGTGGCTCTCAGCGGTGCCGGCTCGGCGTGTCTCTGACCTCCGAGCCACGCGGCCTCGCCCTGTGGCACGGTGGTTGGTGGCAGGACAATGCACAGTAAAAAAAAAACAAGTTCAATCTGCAGGCCCGGTCAGAATGCGTTCTGCGAGGTAGCAAGGCAGTGGCGGTACATCAGTGGATTCTTGAGCCTTTGTGGAGCTTATGACGCCACCCCGCCGTCGCGTGAGTGGTGAGATGATTTCTGTGAGTGCTGTGGTTTCCTCCCACTTGAAATAGGAAGGTTCGTTATCAGAAAGATAAATTGGCCAAACATCCCAATGCATTTTTGCCATAAGGATGAACCCTAAGAGCAGTGTTGCTTCCCCAGGTGCATAGGGCGCATTATCAACCGCAACCATCATCGTTATTACGATTCGTAATGGCATTTTTGGGTTAGTCCATGCTTTTTTGAACTTTCGAAAGGGCAGCCCCAGTGGCAGCTGTCCCTGTGCACATGCACGAGTTGCCAGTGCGCGGACAGGCGATGGGCCTGGTAGGGGTCACGTAAGAGACAGTGAAGGTATCGAGAGCCGTAACCGCGGAGCGCGTCACGATTAGGCGAGCCGACGTGTTTAATAATAACTATAACAACAATAATTATAATAATGTCACATTTTTCACGCATGCAGTTTTTGTTCGCTCTCGGAGAGAGAGAGAGTAGAGAATGATTCAGAGGCGTGGGAAACCACAAGTGCTTGGGATGAGAGCCAGAACCAGCACTACCAACAATTGTCCAAGCACTGTGGTCCTATAGTGGGATGTTTGGCCAACTCGATCCATGTTTCTACACGTGGGGGGGGGGGGGGGGGAAAGTATGATCCAGATGGGTGGATGACACTCAATCCCCATACAGATTCAATACAGATGGGAATTATCCCACTTGCTGTACTGACATCACACCCTGGCAAGCCACTAGATATCAACCTCGACGCCCCCAGGTAGGGGAGGGAGTTTCACGAAAGCGGGCGCGTGATCTACCAACCCCTCTTCTCCGCCTACCACGGCGCAGGATTCCAGGCGATGGCCGCTCGGCTATTTGTAGCTGTTGTTGTTGTTATCTATATTTTTCCATTTATTTTTTAAAGGTTGCCATTATAAATCTGGGAGCCCATTGAGATGCCATAAATGATGTATGGCTTATGAATAGTGCATGGTACGTTAAGGCTTTGCGTAATTTTAACACTCGGCCCGGTGACATTTTCAGCGGTGATGGAGGCTCGGCCGGGTGAATTAAGCTCCCCTGGACTGGGGACCTTGAGGTCTTTGTTTTTTTTGGCCTCGTTTAGTTTTGGTCGAGCGCTAACCGGCAAGCGTGCCAGTCCGTTTGCTGGGAATTTGTTAATCTGTATGTATTTCGCACCGTACGTAGCCAACCGAGCTAATCGGAGGTGTGGGGGAAGGACAACAAGCTAAACACCAAAGGTAGTTCAAAACAAATGAGTGTTCAATCTAGATGATTTAAAAGTGCATAGCTCCAGTGGCTTCCTAATAATGGAAGGAAGAGCGTTCCAGATGGCCGTGGAAGAGCATCTGAAAGCGCGCGATGCGGTGACCGTCTTTGATCGATGGCGAGCCAAAGGGCCGCTATACGAGCGGAGCCGAGCGATGGAACCCTGCGAAGGGTCAATGCCAGGCAGGCATCGTCACGGGGCTACGGGTCAGGGTATGAAATTCAGCGTCAGGGCTACGTTGAGGTCAGGGTTTGGGGTTCACGTGAGGAGTGTGGCAGCCAAGAGAGGGGCAACACCCCTGAGAGGTCGTCCGTTGAAGTCACTCTGAAAGTTCCGGCCGCCGGGAGCATCAGCGGAAGGGTGAGCGGCTCGATATCACGAGGTTGCGAAGTCAAGTCCTGGTTGGGGGCAGTTGACTCAGCCCATCATCCCTCCAGAGTCCATGAAATGTACACCGTTTTGTTGCGAGAGGTCAACGGTGGTTGTTGCTGTGGATGTCCTGGCCCTGCCATATGAACGTGGAATTTCCAGCAGTGGCTCAGGGTTGGATAAACAGGCGATGAGCACTGCTACCGCATGGCTCATTTGAGCAGAACATCACTTTGACTCTTAATGATACATTGTGTGCGTGTGTGTGTGTCTCCCTCTCTATCCCCATCACCACCTCCTCTTCCTCCTCCTCCCCCCCCTCCCCATGCCTCTACCACCGCCCTGACACAGCCGGACGTCTGAGAGAGACAGCGGAAGTCTCAGGATCCTCCTCATTTGCTCGGTACGTTCCCCCCACACGAACTTCGGTCGTTGATGCCTCCTTCCATGTTGAGGACTCGGGTCTGGATCATACTCAGTTTCATCTCATCCTCTACCACCACACTGCAGGTCACAACAATACACTCATCTACCCATCCATTAACTCACTCACCCACCTACTCACTCACTCATCCACTCACTCACCAACCCACCTTATCACTCATCCACTCGCTCATCCACTCACTCACTCATCCACTCACTCACCAACCCACCTTATCACTCATCCACTCGCTCATCCACTCACTCACTCACTTATTCACTCATCCTGCTGCTACACCGGATCCAGCAAATATCTGAGTGTGTATTATATAAGCGGAAGGAAATATATGTAAGTATGTTTATCTCCTTTAGCACCGTACGTAGCCAACCGTACTAACCGGAGGTGCGGTGCAAACCGGTGCCATCAGAGAAACGCACACGCGCGAGCAAGGGGGCAACCCTCTATCCCCGTACGTATCAAAACAGATGGTGGTTAGTCCACTTGCTGTACCGCCTTCTCCTGGCGAGCCAGGGGGTACGGCTCCCCCTCGACGCCGACGGCACGGGAGTCCCACAACATCTGTGTGTTGATCCACCAACCCCTCGCTGCTGCCTCCGCAGCGCTGAGTTACAGCAGCCACGCCACGTGCAGCAGCAGCAGCAGCAGCAGCCGCCACTGCCGCCCGGTGTCGCGGGGGTTAACGATGCAATCGAGATGGCGGAACCCCAGACTATGCTTTGATCGAATCGTGACCCCCCACCCTCAATCATCACGATCCCCGAATCGCGACGATTTATCGAACTGTACGACAGGGGATGATTGAGCGGCGTGTGTCCCGTACTATGTGCTGCTGATGCTGCTGACACCAGTCGTGTCCACACCGCAATGCACCACCTCTCTCTGTGATCTCTCTCTTGGTTATTCCCCCGCCCCCCCCCCCCAACCGCTCCCCCCCCCCCCACTCCCACCCCCCCCCCCCCCAAACAGGAAGAGGAGGGGAGACGATGACCGCCGCTCGCCGCGCTGCCATCCGGGCTCCGCCCCCCACCTCGCCCCCCACGCCCCCTCCTCCGCCTCCGCCCCCCAACGTCAATCGCACAGCGGGGGGAGACGGCGGCGGGGGGCTCCCCCGCATCCGGGACAAGTTCATGAACGAGCTGGGCAGCCTGCCCCGTGCGTGGTGCATATACAAACATTGCCACCTCGGCCACCACCGACCGCCATCGTCATTAACACCGTTATATATCGCCAAACTCATTTATTTAGCACGGTCACCGCATCGCGCGCCCTCAAGATGTTCTTCTGCTGGCCATCTGGAACGCTGTTCCTTCCGATATTAGCAAGCCACTAGAGCTATGCACTTTTAAATTAAAAACCGATTTCTTTAGAACTGCTTTACGTGTTTAGTTGGTCGTCCTTCCCCCACACAGTGCGAAATAAGTTAAACGTACATGCGCAAATCGGCATTCGTACCGGCGTCATCGTAAGGTTACGTTGCCAGCGACACAACAAAGTGCCGTCGCATGCCATGGCGTCATCGGGAGGGGAGGACCATGCTTGTCCTTTTAGCGCTGGTTTTTAAAAAATAATTGAACGCTTTTTTTATTTTTAGCACTGTTTTTTTTACAACTTTTGTTTACACCATGGGGCCTAAATTTTGATTTAAAGCTTTCGTGACTGCAGTAATTCATATTCTTAGTTATTTCGGTAAAGTCACGTTGAAGGGAAACAACAAAATAATAAAATATATATAAAACAATAAAAATTCTCACGACGTTTCGACCATAACACAAACGGCCGTCTTCAGGTGTGTGAAGACGACCGTTTTGTGTTATGGTCGAAACGTCGTGAGATTTTTTTATTGTTTTTATATATATTTTATTATTTTGTTGTTTCCCTTCAACGTGACTTTACCGAAATAACTAAGAATACCATGGGGCCTGTTAAGAATCAAAGTAAAAATAAAAAAAATATTTCTGATGACCAGTTTGTTAATTTTGCAAATGAATAGTTACACTTTTTTCAAATTTTCTTGCTGTGGTTTCACACCTGATGATGATTGCTTGTGTTGCAGTCGAACGTCGTGATAATTGTATTGCTTTATATTTTTATTATTTTATTGTTTCCCTTCTACGTGACTTTACCGAAAGAAACAAAAATATAGTTACACTACCAGTCGCTGTTGAGTTACATCCCAGCGTATTTAGCAACATTGCTACTCTGTTATACGATACATCCTGAAATTATTACATAGGTATCGTCACGTTTTCGTTTTGGTTAAACGTTTTGATAACGTCAATTTTTTTAATGAACATTTTCTCTGGTTTTCTCCCTCATGTAAACACTCATTAATTGGCCGGTAACACCTTAGTATATAGAGGACCGCAGATCTTTGGCAATTGTTGTTGCTGGCGCCGGCTCCTCACCGTGTGGCTGCTGCTGCCATTCCTGCGCCTCGTCCACGGTTCCTCCTCCTGGCGCCTCTTGAGTCGTCCTCTCTCTCTCTCCGAGTCGTCCTTTCTCTCTCCCGAGTCGTCCTCTCTCTCTCCGAGTCGTCCTCTCTCTCCGAGTCGTCCTCTCTCTCTCCGAGTCGTCCTCTCTCTCTCCGAGTCATCCTCTCTCTCTCGGCATAGTCCTCTCTCTCTCCGAGTCGTCCTCTCTCTCTCCGAGTCGTCCTCTCTCTCTCCGAGTCGTCCTCTCTCTCTCTCCGAGTCGTCCTCTCTCTCTTCCGAGTCGTCCTCTCTTCTCTCCGAGTCGTCCTCTCTCTCTCCGAGTCGTCCTCTCTCTCTCTCCGAGTCGTCCTCTCTACTCTCTCCGAGTCGTCCTCTCTCTCTCCGAGTCGTCCTCTCTCTCTCCGAGTCGTCCTCTCCTCTCTCTCTGAGTCATCCTCTCTCTCCGAGTCGTCCTCTCTCTCTCCGAGTCGTCCTCTCTCTTCTCCGAGTCCGTCCTCTCTCTCTCCGAGTAGTCCTCTCTCTCTCCGAGTCGTCCTCTCTCTCTCTCTACGAGTCATCCTCTCTCTGAGACGCTCTCTGTCTCTCGCTCTCTACGAGAGCGTGGGGCGGACGCCGTGCGACGGCAGCATCTTAGCGCCACAAGTTGGCATCGTCATTTCATCCGATGTACAACCGCACGGCAACGTCGCGTTCACAGCTCCCTGTGTGTCAGCTGGGGGGGGGGGGGGGGGATCTTTACGTACGTCATTGTGCCGCTGTCGAGTAACGGATAGGCATGGACAGAGCTGACGAGCGGGGGGAAACAACTAAACCAGTCAATCAGCCAGCCCGCCACCACCGCTGTGGCTGCCGGGCCTTGCGTAACTTGGCAGGGGCAAGGGGGGCACTGGTTGGTGGGCACCAATTTGAAAGCAATTTCACGCAGGAAATGACTACAAAGCGTTCGGCATGACTGCGGTCAGTTTCTTTCCGTTCGCCGCGAACGTTGATGGAGCTAAAATAGAGGGCCGAGGAAGCGGGCAATACGCGGGAAAACAAAACCGCTGATACGCGTTGCCCCAACGCCCACCGCCGGAACGGAAACAAAAATCGTGAACACGAAGCGACAAGCGACACGCAGCCAACGGTCGCAAACTCCCACAACTGGAACCCCGCGTACGCACGCTCGGCGAGCTACGCCTCTGTTTCGTCGAGGCGACATTTGTCTTCGCTTTAAGGCCATTCGCCCGTCAAAGGCCTTGTGCCCGATGGGACGGGTAAAAAATAAAAAGGCACTTCTTTTTCGAACGTGGAGACGCGGATATGCAGCAGCGGGCGTACCTTGTGTTGTCCCGCTCACCTATGTTGGTAGCTACGTTGTCCACGACGACGACCCAAGCGGGATGACTCTTTTGAGTTGGGTGGCAGTGGCACTGCACGGGAAGGGGCGGCACCCGTACCAGTCGGGCGCTCAAGCGGGAGCGCAGGACAGGCCGTGGACTCTCCACGAAACCCGCCTGCCCACCGGCACCTGTCGATATCTCAAACTGGGACACGGCCTGGCTTCGCCTCATTAAGGGGCTACGGGTGAGAACTTTCATTAATCCTCGACGCGGGAGAGAGAGAGAGAGAGAGATGACGGCAGTGGCGGTGGTGACGGCGCCGGTGGCAAGAGTCCGGTGGAGCGTTGTCGTGGTGCTGTCTCTTTGGCCAGTGCCGCCTGGGCGCTGGTTGTGCGTGGCGGTGGTCGGGGTGGTGCTGCTGCTCTGCTGCTGCGCTTGCGTCTGGAAGAAGTGCTGCTGCAAGCGGCGCAAGGGCAAGAAGAGCAAGGAGAAGAAGAACGCCATCAACCTGCAGGAGGTGAAGAACCTCGGGCAGACCTACAAGGACAAGGTGGGTCCCTCCGCCGGCCGCGAGGCGGTGACGGGGTCGAGGGGTCGGGAGGCGAGAGGTCGCCGCTGAGCCTCCAGACCGCGTTACGGGAGGGTCTTGCCGAGTTGTTGAAGTTTGAGGTGGGTGGGGGTGGGGGGGGGGTACGGTATGTTGCAGCTGTGTGATCCCAATTGAGTCAATTGCAGAGTCGCTTTGAGCATTGGGATGTTTTGGCCACCGTGCGGCTTTATTTAGCGATGGGGAGGAAACCGAAGAGACGGAGGAAACCCGCGCAGAACAGGGGAGAGACAACGCGCAAACTCCACGCAGAAAGGCGCCCGGGTCGGGAATCGAACCTAGGCCCCTTCTTGCTGTGCGGCACGAGTTTCACCACCGCTCCGCTCCCATGCCGTGTTAAATGAAATAAAATGATAAAAGTTGCTAAAAGTCAGTGTGTACGACGTCGAGTGGGAGATTGCCGCGGTCGAGCTGGCCATTAGTGTGCCAGGGTGGTTGTCCAAACTTTAAAAAAAATGACATTTACCTGCGAGTGACTCGATTGCGATCACACTTAGCAGCACATTACCGCTCCCCAAGGTGGGCAGCCTCGTATCAACCCCGAATAATCACCACCACCACCATCTCCAGGTTCAGCCGGAAATCGAGGAAGTGGACTTCAACGTGGGCCCTCCTCCCCCTGAGATCGTGCTGCAGAAGGAGGAGGAGAGACTGGGGAAGCTGCAGTTCACCCTGGACTACGACTTCCAGAGCACGCAGGTGAGAGATGGCGATGGCTTGTGGAAGTTTTTCATCCAGCAGTGGGTAGCAATACTACGGCGGTGATGTTGTTGACGTTGGACGCGGTATGAACCAGAGGCATGATCGCGTGAGGGGCGCCGCTGGGATTGGTGGGAAGGCGCGTACCTTTGTCTCAATTAAGAGCGGATTAGAGGCAACCTTTCCATCTCCCAGTGTGACATTTCGCATAGACAACAACGGGCAAAGTGGGGCGGTGGCGGTGGGGAAGATAGTGGTGGGTGTGGCGGTGGGGAGTAGTGGTGGGGTGGTGGCGGTGGGCAGTAGCGGTGGAGCGGTGGGGCATGGCGGTGGGAGGTGGCGGTGAGGCGGTAGCGTTGCGCATCTGTGCAGGCGATAGTTCCGCTTTGTGTTCGACGCTTCACATGGCCTCAACGTCCTGCGCCTCCCCTAGGTCGACTCAACCTCAAATAACTACCTGGTGCAGTGTGTAAAACATAGCGTTAAGCAGACAAAGGCAGCCAGGAACAGTGCTGGCCACCCACCCCTTCCTGTGCCGTGCTGCCCTTCATAGGCACCACTCGCTAACAGCACTTTCCCCAGCAGCCCGTGTGGGTTACACGGACGGTCTTTGTGCGTACAAAGACGGTCCGTGAGTAATGGCCTCTGTCAACTCTCGTGAGCTATCGCCGTTGAGTGCCGTGTAACGAGCGCCGTGATTGATGCAGATGGCTTCGTAAGCCACGTTGGCCGTAATTGGTGCGGTCACTTCGCTCCTTACGCTAATTGTTGCCCTCCCCTCCCCCCCCTCGTTTGGGAGCCCGTGACTCCCGCTGCGGAGAATCCTGCGCCCGCTTTTGACGGCGACTTCCACCGTCGTCGTCCTCGTCTTCTTCATCAGCAGCAGCCATGATTTATCCACTGCTGGATGAAGGCCTCACTCCCCAAGCCAATGCCACGTCTCGTAGTCTCGGGCTGCAGCGATCCATCTTGGCCCCTGCACACGAGCTCTCCCCTGCTCCCCCTCCCTGTCTCTCTCCTGCTCTCCCTCCATAGCTCTCCCTCTCTCTCACGTATGGTTTTTGGTAGGGCAACGTTTAGCGATTCAGTGGTAAAGTGATTGAGCCATTCCTTTGGTTCGCCTAAGCGTTATCATGACGGGCGACATTTCGCGCAATGGGGAAGGATCATTACCCAAAACGTCGCCAGCTAGTTATTCTTTTTTTACTTTTAAGGCTGCAGTGTTGTTGACGAACGTGTTGAGTTGTTTGCTTGTTGGTTATGCTCGTGCAACCGCTGCCCGATGCAGCCGCAGGGGCAGCAGCAGCGGCGGCGGCGGCGGCGGCGGCATCAGAAAATAATTCTGCGAGTCGGTGAATTGGAGGCGCACCGACTCTACACCGGCTTCGCGTTTATGTTTGGGGCGGCGCAAAGTTTTCTGGGCAGCAGGGGCGGCGGCAGCACGGTGGTGACACTCGCGCTTCGCAACAAGAAGGGCCTGGGTTGGATTCCTAACTGGGGTGCCTTTCTGTTGTGGAGTTTGTATGTTTTTACCGTGTTCTGCGTGCGTTTCCTCCGGGCTCTATGGTTTCCTCCCCAGCCATAAACTATTTTTAATTTTAACAGGTAAGGCCCACTGAGCTATATAGCTCTTTTTAAAGAAACGACTCGGCCACTAATGATAGCTCAAAGAAATTGCTTTTCACGTGGAAATCGATAGCAGCCAAATACTTTAAAATGCACGTTTCTAAATGTGGAGGGAAAAACCGGCGGACCCGGAGAACGGAGAGAACATACAAACTCCAAATATACAGCAAGCATCAGGGTCGGGATTGAACCCACGACCTCCTGTATAACAGGCGAGGTAGTTAACATCTGGCGCCCTTCATCCCAATGCAAAAAAAAATTCCCCTGCAAATCACTCACTTGGCATCACTCTGAGCAGCGGGCAGCTGCAGCATCGCCCACCCAGTGCGAAAACCAAGGCATGACTCTCCTGAAAAAAGGATCTTCGGCGAGGAGTGATAACGTGTGTGTGCCAATAATGTGTTTAGGTTACGAACCGGCGACCCGAGTTCGATTCCCGCTCACGTGCCACCAACCACCGGTGACGATGATCTGAAACGCGTTCCTGGGCCTCCTCGCTTCGGTCGACTCAGCCTGAAATGAGTACCTGGTGCGGTGTTTAAACATCGCCACTGGGGAGACAAAGGCAGTCGGGCATGGTGCTGGCCACCCACCCCCTCGTGTACCGTGCCGGCCTTCATAGGTGCTGCTCGCTAATAGCACTTGCCCCAAAAGTCGGTTATGTCTATATGGGGGATCTTTGTCTTTTGTGCTTGAAGTGAGGGGGGCAGGTGCGGAGCAGGTACGTTAATTGGCTGATTAAAGCGGAGAGTAATTAATCTCGCAGGTGCTAAAACACACACACACCTCGCCACCGCTGGGATAGGAGCGCATCAACGGATATAGCTCTCTGCAGTTACGTGCGTGTGTTCGTGTGATAGCGTGTATGCGTTTTCAACTAGTTGCGCACCATACGTAGCCAACCGTGCTTGTCGGAGGCGAATGAGGAGCCGGTGAGGCAGTGGTTAGCGCACTCCGCTACGAGCCCAGTCACCCGCTCCTGGCCAACATCGGTGAACAATATCTCAACTGGTCTTGGGCCTCCCCTAGGTCGACTCAGCCTCAATTGAGCATTTGGCACAGTGTAAACGGCTGGGGGGACCAAGGTGGTCTGGCGAGGTACTGTCCAAGCCATCCCAACGTGTGCCGTGCCGGTCTTCGTAGATGCTCGCCAACAGCTCTTTCCCAAACCGCCTGTGGAAGCTACACGGGGGATCTTTGTGTGGTTTTGTGTGTGTGGAGGAGCGGTGGTGTAGCGGTTAGCACGCCACACTACGAAACTGGTGACCCGAGGTCGATTCCTGCTCACGACCACCACCAGTGACGATTATTTGAACCGGTCCTGGGTCTCGCCTAGGTAGACTCAGCCTTAAATGAGTGACCTGGTGCGGTGTGTAAACATCGCCACTGGGGAGACAAACGCGGCCGTGGGGTGGTGCTGGCCACCCACCCCCTCGTGTGCCGTGCCGGCCTTCATAGGTGTTCGCTAACAGCACTTGCTCCTGTAGTCTGGTAAGCCCAGATGGGGGATCTTTGTCTTTGTGTCAAACAAAGTGAGTTGGCAGAGCGTGTTATGCAGGTGCTGAATCTGGCAGCCACTTCTCAATCTGTAGCACCTGGGTCTGTTCTGTTCTTTGACCTGCTGCACTTAAGCCTTAACCACACTCAGCCACTCTGAGTGCACTTAGCCTGGCACGATCGCGCTGGTAATGTCCCTGGCACTTAGCAGTGAAAGGTGGCTATTGTTGATGTGCTGGGTTGTCTGTACATATTTTGACCGTGTGTGTGCCTATCTGTGTTTATATGTACGCGTGAGTGTGTGTGTTCGTGTGCATGGGGAGCGGCAGCGCAGTGCTTTGTACTCAACGCACTGCACTACGAACCCAGTGAAGCGAGTTTGATTCCTGCTCAACAGCAATGACGATGGCGAATGTCTGAACCGGAGTCTGTAAACAACGAGACCAACCGGTGTTGCAGTTCGCACATCAATCAACACCAGTCGCAGGCACCGAGAGCGTAAACAAGCTATCTTGTTTTTAATTGGCAATGACGAAGGATAATAATAATAATAGAAGCGTGTTGGAAAGGTGACGTTTGTGACGTTTCCTGTGTTGGTATCCAGGTTGTTAAGCCATTCGGTCGCCCTCTGTGGAGGCTGCGTGCATCGTCGGTGACACTGCACTCAGTGTGGGACCACGTGGCCCATGCTCTGTGAATTGGTGGTGCGAAGGTGGGGGGCAGTGTGGGACCACGTGATCCATGCTCTGTGAATCGGTGGTGCGGGGGGGGCATTGTGGGATCACGTGATCCATGCTCTGTGAATCCGTGGTGCGGGGGGGGGGGGCAGTGTGGGACCACGTGATCCATGCTCTGAATCCGTGGTGCGCTGGGGGTGGCAGTGTGGGACCACGTGACCCATGCCTCTGTGAATCCGTGGTACGTGGGGGGGGGGCAAGTGCGGGGACCACGTGACCCATGTTCTGTGAATTGGTGGTACAGGGGGGGGGGGCAGTGTGGGACCACGTGATCCATGCTCTGTGAAACGGTGGTGCACGGAGGGGGGGCAGTGTGGCACCACGTGATCCATGCTCTGTGAATCGGTGGTGCGGGGGGGGGGGCAGTGTGGGACCACGTGATCCATGCTCTGTGAATCCGTGGTGCGGGGGGGGGGGGGGCAGTGTGGGACCACGTGATCCATGCTCTGTGAATCCGTGGTGCGGGGGGGGGGGGCAGTGTGGGACCACGTGATCCATGCTCTGTAAATCCGTGGCGCAGGGGGGGGGGGGGGGGGGGCAGTGTGGGACCACGTGACCCATGCTCTGTGAATCCGTGGTGCTCTGGGAGGTTGGCCTCATCCTTTGCCGAGCTAAACGCCAGTTGTAGTGTGTGCATTGTGCGTGCGTTGTGTGTTGTATGTTGCGTGTGCGATGTCGCGTGCTCATTGTGCGCGCTGCGTGTTTGGGCAGCTGACGGTGGGGATCCTGCAGGCGGCCGAGCTGCCGGCGCTGGACATGGGGGGGACGTCCGACCCCTACGTGAAGATCTTCCTGCTGCCCGACAAGAAGAAGAAGTACGAGACCAGGGTGCACCGGAAGACCCTGAACCCCGTGTTCAACGAGAGCTTCTCCTTCAAGGTGCCCCGCTCCGCCACACTCTCACGTCATCATCATCGTTGTCGTCGTCGTCATCATCGTCGTCGTCACCTCCCACAATCCCACGATCCCACGACGCAGCAATCCGTCCTGCACACGCTCGCGCCGACCGATCGTCATCACCGCTCCGTCTCCGCCGTGGACGCGTGGCGCCCCACGGTTGATGCACCGCCACCGCGGTATTGCCCAGGGCGGCCTGCGCCGGCTTCGCACCGCGGAACCTCCTTGCCGCCGCTTGACCACGCGCGTCACCGTTTCCCCCTTCTGCGGCGGCAACGACAGCGGATCGCGACGGCTATCGTCGTCGAACTGGTTTGTTAGTCACGTGGCGCCCCCCCCCCCCCCACCGCACTCCCTCGATTGTTATGGGAGATTGTTTGGCCGGATCAACAAAACACGTTGCTCGTAATTTTTTCGGCGTCCGTACAGAGTGGCTCGTTAACCGCTAATTGGATGAGGTGTGACTCATGCGACGGCGGCGGTTTGAAAATCTGTGTGCGAGCGTGGGCGTCTGTGCGGTTTTGCGCGCGGCCCACGCGCGGGGGAGCGGTGGCGCAGCGGCGAGCGCACTTTCGCTGCGGGCCCGTCTACACGTGTTTCGATCCCCGCTCGCGCGCAACAACGGTGGCCGGATTTGAATCGAGCCGGCCCTGGGCGTCCCCCTAGGTTCACGCAGCCTTGAAACGAGAACGGCCTGACGTTTTTGAGACATTTTGGGCTCTGCGTCCAGCAAGTGCGTTCACAAGCGACGGACGGACGGACGGACGGACGGAGCCGACGCATCGTCGCTTGCAACCGGCGGTCGTTTAGCGTCGCAGAGAGGCACGGCGCGGGCGTCACGCAGCCGTCCATCTCGAGAGCGCAATGCGTCCGCTACCACTGACTGACATCAAGGAAGCGTGGTCACGGTGGACCCCACTCGCGGCGACCTCCCTCACTCGCGCCAGAACCAGATGCTCTCTTGCGGAGATCTGAACCGCCAGGAACGTCTTCGCCGAACCGTTTCTCTTCACAGACGGTGGCGGCTCTGAAAAATAGGTCACCCGCTTCATTTGCAATGTAAATGCGATGTCTTCATTAATAAATAACGGCTTCAAACTCCACGGCGTTCGTGACAAAGATTCCCCCTATTTGTCCTGACACACAAGCGCTGTTAGCGAGTAGCGCCGATGAAGGCCGGCACGGCACACAAAGGGGGTGGGTGGCCAGCACCACGCCCGGCCACCTTTGTCTCACCAGTGTCGATGTTTACACACCGCACCAGGCACTCAATTGAGGCTGAGTCGACCTAGGGGAGGCCTAGGGCAGAGTGAGTGGAGGGGGAGGCAGCCGGGGTGAGGAGCGTCCTGTTTGACAGTGCAACGAAAGCGGTATCGCGAGTGGCTGCTGCTGCTGCGATGATTACGAACCTCACTCCATTGGGTAAGAGCAGCATCGCCCCTCGCCCTTGATGTAAACAGCAGCATCGCCCCTAACCGTCAATACAAACAGCAGCATTGCCCCTCGGCCCTCGATGCAAATAGCAGCATCGCCCCTAACCCTCGATGCAAACCCTCTGCACGCCGTGTTTGTGAAGAGATCCGTGGCGCGAATCCCAGTGTCAACGGTTTCGGAGCAATTTGTCTGAGCCCACTTTCCATCACACGGAATTTAGTTGCTTTCACATCGAGTTCTCTCCGTTTCCGACCCCTCCGACCCGAGTTTCCCCGCCTGGCCGGATGAGACGAACTCGACGGCCCTGAACGACGCGTGCCGCCCGCAGGTGCCCTACTCGGAACTCGGCGGCAAGACCCTGGTCATGATGGTCTTCGACTTCGATCGCTTCTCCAAACACGACGTGATGGGCGAAGTGCGCGTGCCCATGAACACCGTGGACCTGGGCCACGTCACGGAGGAGTGGAGGGAGCTGGAGAGCGCCGACAAGGAGGAGGTGAGCCGATTCTCGACCCCCCCCCCCCACTCCCCTGCGGTTAGACGTGGGATCTGTGCTCGGCGGATGAGTGGACGGAGAGAGGGACAAGGAGGAGGAGGAGGAGGGCCCCGTTCTTAAGAGCCGGGAGCGCAACCTGAGAGATCGGTCACGTGCAACTGAATCGTTTACATGCGGACGTCTCGCCGGTTGCAGGGAGCAGTTGCACACAACCGGTTGCGGGGAGCAGTTGCACGCAGTCGGTTGCGAGCAGCAGAGACGGGTTCGACTCTCGAGCGGCGATCTGCTCATCGGCGATTTGTAGCAGCGGCGTATGTCGTCGCCGTGTGACGCGTCTGCGCAACCGTGATTGGCCCGTTGGTCGTTGTGATCCTGATGTGGCGGGGTTGTGGGAGGGGGGGGGGGGACGCGTGGAGCTAATTAGCTCTGCTTTAGAGGGACGTGGCCAGGTGCCTTAGCCACGCCCAGACCACGCCCTTGCCGCGCGACTGCTCGCTCAGACTCGATTGAGCTGCGTGCTTTTACTTGGAGGGTGATCGGCAGCTGATTGTTCGAGCGGTGCCGCCCCGTGACCCCGGCGCGCGTGGCGCTCCCTCCCCTGCGTGCGAGCAGCAAGAGAAGCTGGGCGACGTGTGCTTCTCGCTGCGCTACGTCCCCACGGCCGGGAAGCTCACCGTGGTCGTCCTCGAGGCAAAGAACCTCAAGAAGATGGACGTCGGCGGCCTCTCCGGTTTGTAGTGCCCTCACAGGTCAGAGGTCAAGTCTGGTGGAGTTGGTATTCTCAAAACGAAAAACATGAAAATGATTTAATTTCTAAATCCCAGCTCTTCGAATAAAAAAACAAAAAAACATTGGTTTGACCATCATTCCACGAACATTACCCTGTGGCACAGCAGGTGGGAAGGTGCCACCCCCGTACTGCGCGGTTCAGAGGTCACCCGTACGGGCCACAATATTAGTTCAGAGGTATCTCCTTCCGCGGGCCGTTCTCTACGAGCGCGTTGCGCATTAGTCCCGAGCGAGCTAGCGCCAACAGTACGACCGGGATACTGAACTAAACCATTTTTTTTTTTCTACCGGGTAAGGGACACTGAGCTACGTAGCTCTTTGTCAGAAGCAAGTGACTTATCATGTGGAAATTTATAGCTGCCAAATACTCTAAACGCATGTTGATTCTAAATGTAGAGGGAAAAACCGGGGGGAAATCGACGCGACTACGGGGAGGGAGAACACTCAAACTCCAAATATACAGCAGCAGGCGTCAGGGTCGGGATCAGCCCCACGACCTCCTGCATACCGGGCGAGGTAGTTGACATCTCGTTGCCGCGCCGCCACGGCCTCCCCTACAGATCCCTACGTGAAGATCCACCTGATGCAGAACGCCAAGAGGATGAAAAAGAAGAAGACGACCATCAAGAAGAACACGCTGAACCCCTACTACAACGAGTCCTTCAGCTTCGAGGTGCCCTTCGACCAAATACAGGTGCCCTCATCACGCCTGTCACCGCAGCCGCATCCCGGCGTGCGTGTGTGCGTTGTGCGTGTGTGCCTGTATGCGCCCGTGTGTATGCGGGGAGCGGTAGTGTAGCGGTTAGCGCTACGCTGCGCTACGAACATGGCGACCCGCGTTCGATTCCCGCCCACGGCCAACACCGGTGACGATTATCTGAACAGGTCTTGGGCCTCCCCTAGGTCGACTCAGCCTCAACTGTGTACCTGGTGTGGTGTGTAAACATCGCCACTGTGGAGACAAAGACGGCCAGGCATGGTGTTGGCCACCCACCCCCTCGTGTGCCGTGGTGGCCTTCATAGGTGCTCGCTAGCAGCACTTGCCCCTACAGTCTGTTCAGGCTATACGGGGGATCTTTGTCTTTTGTGCTGACTACAGACCCAGTGGAGGCGAGATGTTATTTCCCTCGCCTGGTATACAGGAGGTTCGTGGGTTCGACCCCTACCCTGACGCCTGCTGTAAATTTGGAATTTGTACGTTCTCCCCATTGTCGTGCGGATTTTTCTCCTGGTGTTCCGGTTTTTCTCTTTCACATTTAGAGTCAGCGTGCGTTTAGAGTATTTGGCTGCTATAAATTTCCACACGATAAGCCATTTCTTTGAGCTATCATTAGTGGCCAGGTCGTTTCTGAAAAAAAGAGCTATATAGTTCCGTGGTGCTTACCTGGTAAAATAACGTTTGTTTCGTTTATAGTTTAGACCAGAGTTTATTTGTAACATCTTGTCAACGCCATTCGGCTTTCCAAGCTGCAGCAGCATCACCATCATCATCATCATCGTCGTCGTCGTCATCAGGGTTGAAGGCGCTTTGTTGAAGGTTAAGCGCGACCCCAATCAGTGGCGGCGGCGGTGGCGGTGAGTGACGTTACCGAGGTCCTCCCGGTAGGATGGGGAGATGGACGTTTTGGCGCGGGCGAGGAAATGGCTTGCGGCGGCGCCGCTGCCACAGCCTCCGGCCGCAAGGCTCGGCGGAGAGAAGAGCAGCGGACGGTCGATAAATGGGGACTTTTTTTTTTTTTTACAGATTTTTGTCTTTTTTACCCGCAGAGCACGGTTTTTTTTACAGCGGCCTCAAAAGCCCCTCGAATATTTGCCGAGGTCAAACGGATAGAGAGAGACGTCGCGAGAATCCAATTTTCGCCTCCTCGAAGCTGCTAATGGGGCGGCTGTGACGACGTGCTAACAAAGCGATTCGCGCGCCGCCGCTGTCTTCTCCCAAGGAATTTGCGCCGCTAATTAAACCCAGTTGCACTCAGACGAGGTGTTTAAACTATTAAAACGAGAGAGAGAGAGATGTACAAACGTTTGTGTTGGGTATTTAAAGGCGAAACGAATTCCCACACGGGATGGCTTTGATGCAGCGCAGCGTGTGTGAGACACGTGGCTGGCTACTGGAACGCACCGCAGTGTGATGACGACGAGTGAATGAGTAGACACGCACGGGGGGCCGTCTGTTTCATCGCCGTGCTCATTTTTCACGAAACCACATTGCTATTCTTCTGGCGGCTCAAAAGATCAGCGGAGTCGCTGAGCCGAGTTGGTGACCTCATCCCGGTCAGCAAACATTTACCAAACAGAGGCCCAATAAACGGCACTCGTGATGGGTAACTTAGACAGTCGTCGTCGTCAACAGTGTTTGACTCACCTCCGCCATAGGAATGTGGAATATCCACCACTGGATCTGCAGAGCTATAATCAGGAGATGAACACCCAATGCCTCAATGTTCATTTCAGCAGGAAGATCACTTTTTTAAGTATTTTTACACACGTGACCAGATTTGTATAGCTTTATTGACACAGGGGCACAGCAACTTTATCGCCACCACTCATTGTGTCCCAGCGTCCACCCGGTATTTTAACACCCATATTCCCCCCCGCCCCCCCCCCCCCCCCCCCCCGCCGTGCCCCTCGCCCCCCCCACAGCGTGTACAGGTGGTGATCACGGTGCTGGATTACGACAAGCTGGGCAAGAACGAGCCGATCGGCAAACTCTACGTGGGCTGCAACGCGTCCGGCGCGGGGCTGCGCCACTGGTCCGACATGCTGGCCAACCCGCGGCGCCCCATCGCCCAGTGGCACACCCTGCAGCCTCCCGACGAGGTGGACATGGCGCTGCAGAACTGAGGGCGGCGGGCGCCAGGCCCCCCCCATCCCCTCGGACGTCGCCCCCGTACCTGGCTACAGCGTCCGGCCGCCGGCCCCCTCCCGCCCCCCCCCCCCCCCCCCCCCCCCCCCCCCCCCCCCCCCCCCCCCCCCCCCCCCCCCCCCCCCCCCCCCCCCCCCCCCCCCCCCCCCCCCCCCCCCCCCCCCCCCCCCCCACCCCACCCCACATCGGCATGGTAACGATCCGATCGCAGCTCGCTAGCTAACGTGTCACACGGCGAAGGAGTTGCGCCGCTGCTACAAATCACCGCCGGGCAGATCGATGCTCGAGAGTCGAGTCCGACGTCGTGTTGCTGCGAGCGACCGGGTTGCGTGAAACTGCTCGCAAAAGGTTGCAGGAACGTCCACGTGCGAGCGATTACGTCGCACGCTACCGATCGCTCGGGCGTTGGACTCGGCTCTCTCTCTCGTTTGTTAGTTTTGTCTTTTACCGATTCCCTATTGGCTGTGACTCGACTCGAATATCTTGACGTCTACAATTCCTTTCAAGCCTTGGGAGCGATTTCTGTCAAGGTGCCGCCGATCAACGTGAATCGGTGCGGTGTCAATCCCCCCCCCCTTATCAATCATCGACCCGTCAAACCCGCGTCTCGGTTACCGCCGTCTCTGGCCAGCGGCGCGGGAAACGCCTCGGCCAGGCGGACGCCCCGTCCCGCCAGCAGCGACACGGGCGAGCAGTTGCGGCGCTGCGCCCTGTGCCTTCTGTCGGGGGGGGGGGAGGTAGTGGGGGGGGGGGGTTGCGTTTCGCGAGGACAATCACCGGTGGTTATTCTGCACCACTCAAACCCCGCGACGCGGCGCCGATGCGTCGCGGCTCGTGCCGGCGGTGTTTCACGTAGTGCTTGATGCGGGGGCCTCGGGCGGGGTCCCATGATCCCCGTGGGATAGCACCTCGTGCCGCCGTCGTGCGATAACGTTTGTCGGTCGGCGGCGGCGGCGGCGGCGGCGGCGTGAGCCACTCACGGGTTCTTTGCCCTTCGCGGATTGCGGGTGATGTAGAATTTAATTGAGACGGCGGGCAAAAATATGTCCGTCGGTCAAGACGGTCGCTTGACCATGCTTCACCTCGCCGCATCAATTCCGGTTGGTGAAGGGGCGGGGGACGACGACGACCACGGACCGGTTCAGATTACCGCTCGCCACCGATGTTGGCATTTTGGCCTGTGGATCAATGAGTGATATCCGAGCCACTCACTGCGCCTCGCGGCAAACTTCCCCTCCGCATTAAACAGTCACCTCCCTCTCGCTGGTTTCCGCTCCTCACTCAAAACTCGCTCATTGTTCCCTAGCTCACCTCGCGACCCCTTAGTCTCCCCCTCATAACCACCACCGTTCCTGTTCCCTCTTCACATTCTCATTACGTGGCTATCACTCATTTCCCATTCGTTCAATCCATTCATCATCATCTACTGTCATCCAGTTCGCTTCCACCGAATTCACGCATCACAGATGCGCCCATTGCTTCCTCACATCTACTTTATTCACCTCATTTCCACCATTACATTCATACGTACCCATTCTTCATTTTCTGTAAAGCGCCTTTGTTAAGGCGCAAAATAAGCGACGTTAAGATTCAGATGAGCAGCACCGCCGTTGTTGTTCCTGGGGAGCGATCCACACCCCATCGACCGGTGCGGACGATTCACTGGTATTCACAGCCAGCGCCGTCCGGCAAAACATTGCCCGAAACCATTGCCAGACATTTGCCGGCCATTGGCAGACAATCCTGGCAACTGCCTGGTGATGCTGGCTGTAATTGGCAGCGGCACCTCGTACCCAAGCCCGTTCAAGCGTGTGCTGCGCGGCTCACTCTCTAGCAACGACGCCGGCACTGCTGCAGCGATGGATCGGCGCGTGACGACTTCACATTGAACTCTCTCCCATTCCGAGACGTCTGCAGGTTGCAGGGTGGGTGCCCCGTTCACCTCCGAATCTCGAAACACGGGGGGCGGCTCCGCGCTAATTTTATTTAAGAGAGGCGTAGCGCCGTTGTTTTTAAAGACTTTGTTACACAACCACAGAGAAGCTTTAGCGACACGACCACACTCTACGATAGCTGGCGCCAAATTGTGCAGCACGCCCTCCCCCGTGGCCTTGTGGGAGCCTCGGTTGCTATAAGTTATTTTATTTTTCCTTCCGGGTTCGTTTTGATGATGTAAACCAGTACGTCATCGGAACGGGAAAGGGGTGAATTGCCTGTGACGGGTGGAGGAGGTTGTACAACACAATGATGAATCGTGATATTGGTCGCAAAAGTCCACGTGGTGAAGTATGGTCAGCAACTCCCCTGACATCGGGCGCTGGCTGTACGTGTACGCGTGTGTGTACCTGTGTTCACGTACAACATCACCCATTTATTCTCGAGCATTGTATTTCATGAATCAATATTGTCTGTGTGTGTGTGTGGGTGTATACGCTCGTCTAGCATAACCATTAATCGGATATCTGAATGTCATATGGGTTCCCCTGGCCCCCATTCTCTTCAAATCCAGAGCTTCCCCGTGTTAGGCTCGTAGCCGGCTCTCCGAAAGGCTCGACCATCCTCCCGTGCTGCCACCACGTGCTGGGTCAGGGGAAGTTCGTGCGCACGCGAGCGAGCGATCGATCGTGCGAACCCGCGTGGCTCGCAGCCGACTCGCTCGCCAAACTGCGGCGGTTTCCCCGGCATTGGTTCGAGCGAGACCGAGCCGGAGCCTGAGCCTGCTGCTGATGAGACGCTGAATGTCGAAATCGGTCCGGATGGAGGTGATGCTCGTGTTGCACCAACCCTGCTTGGGATTGTGTATTCCCACAAGGCTGATGGGACGTGTGAAAAAAAGTTATATACGCGAAGGAGGCGTCTTACCTTCGTATTTTGTCACTTATAGTCGGGCGTCTCCGCAACCGATTGCAGGTAGTTGCTCGCAGACGATTGTAGCAGCGACGTATTGCATCGCCGTGTCTTAGCGAGCTGTGATTGGTCGTTACGATCCCGAACGCACGGTTCGGTCGTGAGTTCACATCCTTAGCTTGGGGGTGGCTGACTTAGCCCACGGTACGGTAAAAATGCGTGCCACTTTGTGGGGAAGTCAACGGTGGTTGTACTGTGGAGAGGCTCGGCCTCACCACGGGAATGTGGAGTTTCCACCACTGGTTCTGCAGGGCTGTGAGCAGGAGACGAGCGCCCGTTGGCACAGCAGGAGAAGGTTCGCTCTGACTTGAGATATTCTGACCTCTCCTCGACCTCTCAGTCACGATCTCTCCTTTCTTTTATTGTTTCACCGTTTCAGACTCTCTATGAGGCAGAGATCATGATTTGTTCTACGTTTTAAGTTATTGAGATTTTGGTAAAAATGCAGTATTCCTTTTTATATATATAAATTAACTTTTTTTTTTACAACTTACAGCGTCTTGTACTTATTTAAGTAGCGAAACAACTCGGATGGCGCGCACGCCACAGGGAGAGGACTGCGGCAAAACCCGGAGCAAGAAGGGGACTGGGACCGACAGGTGATGCGGCCTGGAACCTGTGACGGATTCAACTCCCATCGGTTAAATCCTTGGGCCGCCGCGGTGGCGAGGAGATGCCATCTCCCTCGCCTGTCCGCAGGAGGTCGTGGGTCCCATCCTGGACCCCCCTGGCGATGCCTGCTGCATACCTAGAGCCCGTGTGATCTTTCACTCCCCGTGGTGGTCCCTTGGTTTTGCACCGCCCCCCACCCACCCCCCGCCGACGTTGAGAAACAACGCGCGTTTAGACTATTTGGCGGCTGCTTTAAATTATTATTCCTACGTGTGGTGGCAGAGATGAAGCGACTGCCGAATGCTCGTTTTGGCGCTGGGGCGAGACGGCGGGCGACGGCGTTCGGGGGCCGGCACCGCCGTTCCGACCGGCGTTGGCCTTTAAAGCCGTGGTCCTAGGATCGTTTCTAAAACGTCGCAGGCCGATAATATTGCTCTGGGAAGGTTCCGCAACCCTGCGGGTGGGCGGGTGGGCGGGCGTGGAGAGGCGCGGGCTTTCTTTGTAATTGAACGTTCATCCGTGGTGGAATCTTACAGAGAGTTAATTTTAGCCCCGCCAACCCCCCCCCCCCCCCCCCCCCCCCCCCCAAATAACAAAAAAGCCTGGACATGAAGAGGAGCTGGGTGTCCACCACCACGTCGCGAGCGCAGTGGTTTAGCGCGCCCTTGTTTCCTACCGCCTGTGTAAATACTCGGTGGGTAATGGAAAAGCCATGAATGTATATTGTGCGTTTTCTCGTGTTTTCTTGTTTTTGTACACTGGAATCGCGGCGGCTGGGCTGCTGGGTTGCCGGAGACGGCTTCGTGATTGATTATTTTTGGAGTCGCGTCGCTTGAGTCAAATGTCGCGTCCCGAACCCCCCTCCGCCCGACACGGCGGATGTACGAGCGTCGTCGTCACGTGATGAACAAACGTGGACGGTGCGTCACCGCTTCGGCGGCAGAAGCAGCGGTACCGGTCGTGCTCGAGAGCGATCCGCACACCACCGTCGAACCATTGGGCGGTCCGACGATTCTCGCCGGTTCTCCGCAACCGGTCGCATCAGCATCGTCAATTCGCGTAATCGTAATATCGGTGGCGAGGAGCCGCTGTGTGTAGACTTTGGGGAGATGGTGGAAGCCAACCGGGGCTGAGATCCTCACAACCCAAAATCTTACACACACACACGAGCGGCTCTTCTCCTGTCGCTACCAGCGTTGTTGGCTATGCTGCCACGTGACCTGTAATCCGGGCACCGTGGAGGTCGCGAGGGTTGGTGGATTACGCAGCTCCCCTCCTCAACCCAGGGGGGCGTCGAGATCGCCACCTCCCGGCATGCCAGGGGTTTGAGGGTCGTATGGCGAGTGGGATCCGTTTCACTTGCAAGGGGTCTGACTCTCAGGTGCGCCGTCGAAACCCACGCGCGGTGGAGCCTTCCGCAGTAGCAGGTTTTTCTCTCGGGCCGCGTGCTGTTTATGAACTTCTAGTTGGGGGAAGGAGGAGGGCTTAGCTGTGGTGATGTCGTTGATTGAGAGACTTGAGTA